GAGACACAGGCTCACATAAAGAACTAGGGGAGGACAGGGGAAAAATAATCTTGTGGCCAGAGTGGACCACAAGCGAAAGACGGTAGCAGTGCCAAATCCAGGCTTTAAAAAGTTACAGAAGGAGCTGGATGTGATGCTGGGACCAGCAGGAGGCAGGACCAAGCACAGGTGTGGGAGTCCCAGGGCCTGACTCTGTCACTGACTTGTGTGACCTTGGGTAAGTTGCTTTGTCTGTTTAGGTCTTAGTTTTGTAAAGTGTGGGCTCTCTCCCATCTAAAGGGCTGGGAGGGCCCCAGGGTCTGGAGAGCAATCCCGAGCTGGGCTTAGAGAGAGCTGGGAGGTGAACACACAGCAAGGGCCGGTGCGGTTGCCGCAGTGGCGTGTGACTTTGTGATGCCCTTCCACGGAGCAGTGGACGGGGGGCCTTTCTTGTGTAGAATGGGACAAAAAGGCAAAGATGTAATTGCAGCGGGAGGGACGTGGGTTGGACGTCACACGTAACTTCCCAGTCCGAAGGCCTGGGAAAGCTTCAGAACATTTATGTTTTTGTATTCTTAAGAAAGGGGCAAGCAATGCCTTGGTGCACCTTTGCTGAGGGCAGGTGGTTTCTTCCTCATCTTTTCTTTTTGGACGAAGTCTTGCTCAGTTGCCCAGGAATGCAGTGGTGTGATCTTGGCTGACTGCAACATTTACCTTCTGGGTTCAAACAATTCTTGTGCCTCAGCGTCCCGAGTAGCTGGGATTACAGGCACGCACCACCATGCCTGGTTAATGTTTGTAATTTTAGTAGAGATGGGGTTTCACCGTGTTGGCCAGGCTGGTCTTGAACTTCTGACCTCAGGTGCTCCAGCTGCCTTGGCCTCCCAAGGTGCAGGGATTAGAGGTGTGAGCCATACGCCCAGCCCTCTTATTCATCTTTTTGATGGTTGGCACTGAATATGCGGTTGCTGAATGAATGAATGAATGTGGGCATGTGTGAATGAACAGCATGGGTCTCGTTTACTGTGACTGGCTGTGGTCATCAGATCCAAGGATACAGAAGCTGAGACCCAGCCAGGCCAGCGACTTAAGCACCACAACTCCCCAACTCAGAGCCTCAGTTTTCTCATCTGTGAGATGCCGACAAAGCCATCTGGACTTAGGTCACAGGATTCTTGCAGGGATAAAATGTGATGGACGATCTGCTGGGTATGGTGGCTCCCGCCTGTAATCCCAGCACTTTGGGAGGCTGAGGCAGGAAGATCACGAGGTCAGGAGACTGACACCATTCTGGCCAACATGGTGAAACCTCATCTCTACTAAAAAGCAAAAAATTGCCTGTAATCCCAGCACTTTGGGAGGCCGAGGCGGGTGGATCACGAGGTCAAGAGATCGAGACCATCCTGGTCAACATGGTGAAACTCCGTCTCTACCAGAAATACAAAAAATTAGCTGGGCATGGTGGCGCGTGCCTGTAATCCCAGCTACTCAGGAGGCTGAGGCAGGAGAATTGCCTGAGCCCAGGAGGCGGAAGTTGTGGTGAGCCGAGATTGCGCCATTGCCGTCCAGCCTGGGTAACAAGAGCGAAACTCCGTCTCAAAAAAAAAAAACCCAAAATATTTGCCGGGCATGGTGGCACGCACCTGTAAACCCAACTAGTCAGGAGGCTGAGGCAGGGGAGTCGCTTGAACCCGGGAGGTGGAGATTGCAGTGATCCAGCTGGTGACAGAACAAGACTCCATCTCAAAAAAAAAAAAAAAATGATGGACGATCTGAAGGTATTTTGAGGACTCCCTCCTGCATAACTGGGGGAGGTACTCCTGGAAGGTGCCCCCCAAGGAAGATAGGAAAATGGTGGAAGCGAAATACTTCCCTTAGGCCACATGGGAAAATGTGAAGGAGAAAGGTTCCCTTCACAGCAGGAGTATCCTGGAAGTCCTGTCCCAGGCACCAGGACGGTGAGCGGGCAGCCTATATCTGGTCCATACCTGCTCTATGAACTCCTTCCTCAAACTCCAGGGAAAGGACAGAAGGGGGGAGGGACTCCTACAGCCACACCTTTAACACTGTGCTGGGACTCCAGGCATTGGGTTATTCAGCTCTTCTCTGGAGCTGGTGCTCCCGGAACTGAATTCATATCCATATGAAATGTCTTGATCACTCAAGGGAATCTACAAACTTCACTTTCTCTGAAAATGGGCTAAATGCAATCAGTGACTGGTAAAATTTCTTTTGGTTTTGAGATTCTTCCAATTACAGTTAAGAAGGGAACATCAGTTTTAAACTTCACTTGCTGTCTAAAACATTTTTAAAATGGGATCACTACGTATCAGTGTGTGACTATGGGGCGTGCTGCGTAATCTAGAAGCAGATCATCTCCAACAGCAGATAATCCAGGAAATACTGGGCAGACACTGGCAAATCAGGAACCTCAGGAGTGTCTGGGCTTGTTTGGGGCACACAGATCCCAGGCCACTGACAACCACCAGGTTCAAGGAAGAAAGTAGAAGCACTCAAATATCAACACAAAGAAGCAGAAACAAATTGCATCCAACCTGGCCTCTGGATTTCAAGTCATTTCTTCTTATATCTCACTGCACAGAAACAATGAAGTGATTTCTACCCTGGAACCTGGGAATGAGGAGAGGCAAAAGCCACAGGCTGGGAACCCCAGCCTGAATTGGATGAACTTATTCTGTGGTTGATTTATGCATGCATGAGTTGCACGCCTGAGAACGGGGTAGGGACTTTTGAAATGCGGCCCATGCCCTCTGGCCCTCGTGTGTACAGAGCCGCCTTCGCTGAGTGACTCAGGGTAATGACTGATCAACTGCTGTGGGCTTGTTGTGCCGGGGATGCCCTGGGAGGCTCTCCCTGCCATGCTGCCTGCCCTGCATCATCAGGCCTCAGCTCCAAGGCTGCAGCCTCCAGCCTGTCTGGCCATCCGCTGGCAGATGCTGCTCCCAGGCTCTGCCCCCTGCAGCGCGCGCCTCTGATTCAGCCTTCCAAGTTCACAAAACAAAGTATGGGCCATGGAAGTGCTGTGTGCAGCCTAAGAGTTGATGGTCTTATCTGGGCCCAGCGGCCTCTTTACAGACTTTGTGTCCTTCACCTGGGTCTGCAGGAGGCAGATAGTTTCTGGGCCTGGATGAGCCACAGGTCCTGGAACAAAAGCTCCAGAAACCAGGGGCTTTTCATTTAAGGCTCCATTTCTTATCGAGCATTCAATTCGCCAGCAAGTCCCGTCCAGGTCGCCCCCAGAGCATCCATTTCTCCACCACCCTGGCCACACTACCTTCCCCCAGCTCCTGGCTGGTATCCCAATTGTCCCGCTTTTGCATCTTTGCATATGCAATGTCTTTGAAAGACTCAGTCCCCACCCATCAGGTGTAGAATTAGCGCCTTCTACAGAATATTATTCTTCAGGCAGGCTTTCTGCAGCTCCCTGGTCTGTGTCCTGGGCCCCTCCTAACTGTCCTCCCAGCTGGTGGGTGACTTGGAGCTGGTCACCTGCCTTTCTGGGCTTCAGTTTCCTTACCGGTAATAATAGCACCTACCTCATATGTTGTGAGAATTGAATGAGCTAAGACACAGCAGGGACCCAGTGCTATGGCGTTGTCCCTGTCACTGCCCTTGGTAACGAGTAACGTTCACGTGGATAACGGGTAACGTTCCATCACCATTTGTTAAGTAAGCTCCAGATGGGTGGAGCCTTCCCTGTGGCATTCTCTGAGGGTACCCAGGGGCCAGCATAGCCTGGCATGTGGCTTTGATCAAATGGCAATCCCTGAACTCTTATGGCCAGTCATGAGTCATAGGTAGACCCCTCTCCAGAGACACCTCTGCCCAGTGCTCCTGGCAGCTCTGTGCAATCTCGATTCCTGAAAAGCCCCCCCCAATGCTATCCCCCTCCACTATGACCCGAGGGGTGCAAGGCCTGACTGACCAAGGCCAGAGTGCCTGCTGTCACTGGAACAGAGACCCAAAGCCAGAGCTTTGTCCCTGCTTCATCCCTGGCCTCTCTGTGTGCCCCAGGGACTAGGGGGACAGACCAGGGCCGTCCCCATCCTGATGGGAGCTGCGGTGCTGGGCCGGACACCCGGGGAGGGGCCTTGATGGGGCTGCAGGGGAAGGAAGGAGGAAGGAGATTCTGTCCTTAAGTCCCACAAAGCGCTGTTGAGAGCTCCCCTTACCCCAAGAGGAGCAAGCCAGTCCCAGCCCTGTCCTATCCTCTTCTGGAAAACTTTGTCCTTCAAGCCAAACCATTCCTGGGAGAATTCTGCCCCCCTCCCTAAAATGTAGGGATCCCTAGACTTCTGGGTCTGGCCCTAGGGAGGGTGGTGGGGATACTGGGGACCTCAGCATGGGGTCCCCAACTTACATGACTGGCTTCCTACCAGTGCCCCCACCTGAACCAGGCCTGGGCGCCAAGGGGAGACAGGGAAGAGGGTAGAAAGCAATCTCCAATGATTGGCATTCCAGTGCCAGGGTACCAGACCCAGCGCCCTGGGCACAATGTGCGTTTCTGGCAAGGTGGTGAAGCAGTGAGGCCTGGCAGCTACCATCATCCTGGAGTGGAGACCAACTTGGCCTTCACCCAAGACCCCCACCACCATCACTGCCCCAACGGGCACCCCTGGCAGACAGCCAGGAAGGGAAGGTCCCATCCAGGGCTCCAGCCGTGAGCTCTTGGTTGGGCTGTGAGCTCCAGCCCCGGACGAGACGTCTTTGGGGACTCAGAGCTCCGGAGCCAGGCCATGCCTGGGGGCTCGGCGCTGCGTTGGGCCGAGGGGCTGCCTCGCTCCAAACGCGCAGAGCGCAGGCTGGGCGCACGCACTTGACCGGGGCCGGCGCTCCCTTCCCGGGACGCACGTGCGCGGGTGGGCGCCGCGAACCCGGCGCAGAGGGTGCGGCCCGCGCCCCGGGGTCCCAGGAGGCCCCGTCGCCGCCGCCCGCTTCCCGCCCTCGCCGCGGCGCAGGTGCGCGGCCCTCCAGCCCCGGTCGCGGCCGCCCGCACTCACCGTGCCCTCGGACGGCAGGTAGCCGATGTCCTCGATGGCGCAGATGTTGATGATGTGGACGCTGCGGTCCTCGGCCGGGAGCGTCGAGTACTTCTCGTTGACCCTCATCGTGGCCGCCTGTGCTCGGGGACCGCCGGGCGGCGCGCCCTCCCCATCCACGGCCCCGGCGGCCTCTGCGGGCGGAGACGGCAGCGTTCGCGGCGCGCTCGCAGGGGGCCGGGCCTCCCCGCGCCCAGGCCCGCCGGGGACGTGGCCGGCCGCCTCCCGCTCCGCCCGCCGCCCTCGCCCGCCCGCCCGGCCCGCGCGCTCCGTGCGGGGTGCGCCTGAGCCTCGGGGCCGATCGCGCTGCCGCCCGGCTGCGGGTCCCGCGCCTGCTCAGGAACTTGCACTCCCGCCGCCGGCCTTTGCCTTCAAGATATAAGCGCTCTCCGCCCGCCTATGGCAGGGGCGGCGGCCGCGCGGGTCAGATTTTCCGTAGAAATTTAAACACAGGAAGAAAAAGGATTCCATTCCTGCGGGCCCCTCCGAGTTTTATTTTTATCCGGAGAAAGTGCCCCTTTGGATTTTTTTTTTTTTTTTTTTTTTTTTTTTTTTTTTTTTTTTTTTTTTTTTTTTTGAGGGTTTGCTTACCAGGTATGAAAAGGGGGGACTTTAAATAAAGTCCCCGAGTGGCAGGCGCTTCTGTGGCGGGTCACCTCCGCCTCCGGGGGAGTGAAGCTTCTGAGATTGGAGTCTGGAATGTTCTCCCTGCCCCTTTCCCTCCCCTCCACCCTGGCAAACTCCTGCTGTCTCTCACGGCTCACCACCTCCAGGGAACTCGCCTGGTTCCTGCCGACCCGCCCCCCACCCGCTGCCCGTGCTCCTGGGGTAGGCTTTTCTGGGGCTGTCATCTCTGGAGCCCACCGATGTTACCCGTGCCTCTCCCCACCCCATTAAGGAGCCCTTAGTGTTCTGCCCAGGTGCGTGCAGCCACCCTGATGCAGGGCATGCGTGTGTACCATCTCATTTAACCCTGCACCTGCAAGGTTGGAATGCGGGTCCTCATTTTGCAGAGGACACCCAGGCTTAGGAATGCCAAGGAACGGTCCCCATCCTCTGAGGCAGGGTGGTGCTCCTGCAGAGAGCTGTCCCCACTGCAGGGCGAGGCTGTCCTGCTTTCGGGAGGGAGGATGGTGGCTTTGATCGCTCACCCCCGGCCCCAGCAGGGGTCTGGCACACAGCAGATCTTCAAGTCTTCTTCCCCTAAGGAGAGTAAGGCAGGTCCCCAGGGGACAGCCACACTCTGGTTAAGCCCCAGGGGCCATGCTGGCAACCACATCCACTGGAAATAAAGTCTCCCTCTACCTCTCACAATCCTGTGAGTTCTTCATGGTGTGCATCAGATAGCACCTCTAGCAGGAAGTCCTCCTGGATTCTCACCCACTGCCTCTTCCCACTCAAATACATGGACCTTCCTTTCTACCCAAAGAACCTGCCTGAACCTCAACTAGCACTTCATTATTCCCCCTCATTTTACAGTGGGTTGTCTACCAGGTTCATACAACTGATGCTCAATAATTGCTTATTAAATGGCCATTTGGGAACATTCAAGGTCTACAGAAGTGATTAGGAAGTTGTCTTTCAAGGTCACGAGGTCATCAGCATGCCATGGCTCCAAGTGTGGAACCTGGAGTCAGCTAGGATGGGGTTGGGGAGAGGGGGTGGGGGCTCACTCCAGCTCTGGCACCTTCCAGCACTGTGACCTTGTGCCAGCCTCCTCCTGGGCCTCAGAGCCTCCCCCTTCTCATGGGAGTCTTGAGCGTGCCTGAAGCTGCCAGGCATGCAGCGGTCACTGCTGTCACTGCTACTGTCATCTTGTCATATCTTCCCTTTCCTGGTGCCTCAGTGAGACCCCCCCCCCCATTTAGGCACAAGTCTGTGACTTCCTTGAACTTGGGGTGGTGCAGGAAGGCTATTTGGTTCTCAGGCTGGTGGTGCCAACGGGTGCGGAGTGGTCCTAAAGGACTCTTCGTCTGCACCTTGGACAGTGAGAGAGGGTTTGGAGGAGGGCCCCAGGCTGGCCAGATCCACACCAGAAACAGTGCTCCATGGCCTCTGCCCCTAAGAGTTCAAGTGTCCAGCGCTGGGAAGAATTCCACAAAACATACAGAGGATTATGTAACTCCATCTGCTAATCCTTGTTGGTAAACAACCAGCATTGCATAACAGTAATGTACTGTCTTTCCAAATTTACGTTCGAGTGGCAAAGGACCTTCCGGAGCTCCACGAGGTGCAGTTTGCAGAAAAACAAAAAGAGTAAAAATCTACTTGACCAAATCTGATACACTGGTGTTCCCAAAGGTTTAGGAAGTGACACTTCTGGCTTGAGAGGGCTCTGGGCTTTGGGGGCTGCCGGGTGGAGGGCCATCTCCTAGGCAGGATGGCCACACCTTCTCCCCAGACAGCACCCCTTGTGGCTTTACCCAAGAAACAGTATTGAACCTCTGGTTTCTGTGATTTATGCTGTAGCCAGGCTCGAGGCATCTGCTTGCCTGTAAGACACCACCTCCTTTGCTATTTCCAGTATGTTTCCTTTTTTTTATCTCCAGTATCGCTGCATTTTAATTCCTCTCGCCCCTTTCCCAAGTCTTCTGAGGTGGATGGTGTAGACACGCACAGCAAGGGCAGAGGAAATGCAGCGTGGCCTCTGCATAGCAAGGGCCAGAGAAGATCAGCTCTGCCCCCAGGCCTCTCCTGGCCTCTGCCGGGGGTTCATGGGTCTAGGGATTTCAGGGACTGACACAAAGTAAAAGCAATCGTCCCTAAAATTGGAACGAGAAAAGAGAATTCCTGTGAGAGGTGGTATCTCCCAAGTCAGGACGAGTTTACAGGGTGCCTTTTGTTCCATAGGTGGTCCACTTCTCTAGTTCCCTGCCCCCGCCTGTGTCCCCTGGGTCACTTTGTTGGGAATCTCTCTCCCCTCTAGTCACTGATTGCTCACACGTGGGGCCACTCCATAAACGCTCACATTCATTTTTCTTTTTCTTTTTGTCTCAATGATTTTCATCACTAAAAACCCACGGGGACAGATTTTGCGGGCAGGACTAATTCCCCGCTCATGAATTAGTAAAAACCTGGTCTAACTCGTCCAGATGGTACATTTTGTGATGGGGAGCTCCGGGCTTCCCAGCTGGCCTGTGTGGCCCTTCAGTGTCATGTGATGGCATGCGCCAACTGATACAGGTGTCTTTGCTGACATTTTAATAGTCACCGGGGATGTAAATGTCAAGTGGCAAGGAGTGGAGGCCAACAAGCTGTCAGGAGGGTGGCCTCCCGGTAAGAGGCTGCACAGGGGAGCCCTTTCCAACTTGATTTTATTTCCATCCCATTGGCATCGCCCACAGGGAAGAACATCTCTGGGCACTGGCTGAGCTGCCGGCAACTCAGTGGGAGGTTGGACAAACCAAACTTTACAAAGGGAGCAGAACGAGGTGCCCCAAATCATGGAGATGCAGGGGCTGGTTACCAAAACCACAGACCAGAAACCCGTTAGCCACTGCACAGCCTTGGCATGCCTCGATTTCCTTTTTTGTAAAGTGAGGCATGACGTTTCTCCTTTTGGGTGGTGGGTGAGGGCCAAGAGGCCCAGCGCCTGGCCATGGTGAGTCCAGGCCAGGGAGGCAAAGACCTCTTCCTCTTCTTCTTCTTTTTTTTTTTTTTGAGATGGAGTCTCACTCTGTCGCCAGGCTGGAGTGCAGTGGTGCAATCTCGGCTCACTGCAACCTCCACCTTCCAAGTTCAAGCGATTCTCCTGCCTCAGCCTCCCAAGTAGCTGGGACTACAGCCTCTTCTAATACGGGGGCTCTACAGTGGAGGTATTGGGACCGTGGGTGTGCAGAGCTGGATCCTTCTCTGTGGCGGGGGCTGTCTGTGCGATGTAGGACATTTTGCAGCCACCCTAGTGACCTCTACCCACCCATGAGACCCCAGCAGCACCTTCTGCCTCTAACCCCAGTGTGACAACCAAAAATGTTTCTTGATGTTGTCAAATGTCCTCTGGGGACAAAGCCAGCCCCAGCTGAACACCACTGCTCTCAAGCTTGTCCGCGGCCCTCACCTGCCCTCTCACCTGGACCTGGGGGCCAGCTTCATGAGCCCCCGTTTCACAGGTGCGCACACCCGGACAGTTGACATATTTGGCTAAAGGTCAGGGAAGACACCCGGAGAGGTGACATACTTGGCTTTCATTCTAGTCTCCTGACCCCCACCCGCCAAACCAGAGCTCGCTCCGTGAATTCAATACGCATCCAGAATTAGGGAGGTAGCACAAAGGGGACTCGGTTTCTTTTTACAAAATAGAAACAGCCGGGTGCCCAGGTTGCCTCCGTTGGTGGAGGTGCTGGTACCCTCAAAGCCTGGGTGCATTGAGCCTGCCTTGCCCCTCGGTTGGCCCAGTACAAATCTCTGCATTCAGAGGGTTCTAATAAGTGCTGTTGACTCATGAATAGCCCAGGGGAGGGAAAGCAGCATGGAAGCAGTGAGCAGTCATGACTCAGGGCCATTGTGAGCGCCAGCGGCCACCCATCCCGATCCCACACCAGCCCCACGCTGCCGGGCAACCCGAGTAGGGCAGAAACAGAGGCCAAACAGGTAAATGATGTCACCTCCCAAAAGCAGCTTGGGCTGTAATTACCCCCGGGGAAGATGTGCCTGGGGAATTTACAGCCGAGATACAGCGGGCGGGCGGGAGACAGGCCACTGTCTTTTCCTTCCCTCGCATGATGTCAGCGCCGGAGCAGAGGCCGGCCAACCGCAGCTGGGCTCCGAAAGTGGCAGCCAAAGCTCTGACACTCGGCCAAAGCATGAAGGTCTGTTGGGGGGGGATTTTTTTCCCCTCCAACAGAATCCACGGGCATCCCGTTTCCATAGGAGGGTTTTCGGATTCTTAATGTGTTTTGTGAACCCAGGGCCTGCTTTCTGAGAATCCCAAGAGCTTTAAAGCACACCCGGGCAGCTGAGACCCTGGCCAGGCCATCTCCTCCTGGAAGCCTTTCTGGTTCAGCTCAGATGGCATTGCTCCCCTCTGCTCCTCCCACCTGTGGCTTCAGCCATTCAGGGTCCCTTCTGCCCACCATCTTCAGTTTTTCGGGCTTCATTTCTGCACTGTTTACTCTCCTTCCCATCCTGGGCACAC